ACGGAACAAGTCGCCATACATGTTCCAACCCCCAACCTGGAGGACCAGGAGACTGTGTTCGTCTGACCTCTAACCATTGACCAACCTGGTATGAGAGACTCTGTGAGTGTCGCGCGGACACCCCCCAGTATAGCTCAATGGGTCGCCGAGGTACACAAACCGCCACACCACGATAAGGTCCAGTCTCTTCGTGTCGTACGTGTTACCTGCTGGTATGTAGTTCCAGACATCGGTCAGTGTCACCTGTCTCGACGATATCCGTGACTGACAGCTTTCATTACATGCTGTCATGTCACGACCTGTCTCCTGCGAGTCTTTCGCCAAAACTGAGTTGGAACGGAAAACGACACTTCCTTGGGTAATTGGTGGTTGAGCATAAGAAGCACATGCCTCAAACACCTCAACCTTGGAAATTTAATCTGCCACCCTACCAATTCGGATTTGTTGAAAAGTACCTGCTTCCGCATCACAGCATTGCGTACTCATTGCAGCCAATTAGCTCTTGCTATGCTACGGGGACACCGGTAATCGGAAATCTGAAGAGGCTTGAAGTTCTCGGACCGGAGGAGCAAGGTTTCATAACCACAAAGTAAGGAGGCTGAAGCAGTTTTCTTGTATACACGCTTCTTTAGCTCCAGCGAAATTAGTTACTGGTGCCAAAAATGAAGTAAATCGCCAAAAGCCGCTTGAACCTTGCTTACCTGCCCATTGACTTCGTCTGTCACAATACACTTATTGCTTATACAGCAGATATGTGAACTCATCAACAAACTGAAGTTCTTCATTCTAAAGTTTCAGGGAAGCATTTTGAGGGTGCAAAAACACCTGCCGAAACATGGAACGACCTCCGACATCCTGTTTAGAGTGGCTTGTAAGAACAAATAATACGATATCCCAACGTAATCTAAGTCTACTGACCTCTCTTCAACCCTGATCTCGATAATCTGATTCGTGGTCTCTTAGAGAGTGAACCCAATGATAACGTCCGCGAAGAAAACGAAGATGGGACAAACCCGATAGACTCTCACACTTTCTCAACCGTTCAGAAGAATTCTGGATATAGGAATCCGATTATGTTCGCAAATTTATGCGGTATTCTCCTATTGAGCAAGTTAGAAACACTGATCAATCCACAGAATCTAAGACCTTCAAGTCAAGGAACACCTATGTCGTGAGTCGGATGTACATTTAAACGTGCTTCAACACGTGACGGGTTGTGAAAATGTGGTGACGAATACTCTACCGATCGAGATCCCACTTGATGCTCGGGATCCAAGGTTTCACGTGCCGCCATAAGACGAGGAGTAGTCAGTAATACTTGAAGTTTTATCGGGAGGGGAGTTAATCAAAATCTTTTACTAGAACGCCTGACAATAAAGCAGCGGGTGGATCTCGACATACTCTACCAATCAATTCAATTTATCAGCTATAAGCCGTGTACCATAGGTACATTGATCCCAACTGCTACAGTTTCGATCGCCGGAAAATGGGAATGTGAAACATACAACTAGGCCTTGAGGGCGAAGGTATGTTCAACTTGCTCAGAAATTGGGTTGCTACACATTGAAGGCGGTAGCCTTGATGCACGAGCGCCACTGACTGAGCGATTGGGCCATTTTCCCCAATCTAATTAACCACTGGTTTTTCCGATTTGAAATATAATCTCATCTAATCTCCAGCCCACCGAAACTTATACAACTGCCCAGGCAAACAAATTTATCTACCATGTCGATTGGCTCGCCTGCAAGCATCATGTGTGGGTTTGATCCCACAGCAGCAGCATTTTACACCTTGTAGATGTGAAGCGCATGCCAAACCGTGTGGCAGGCTATTTAAAATCCGAACAATGGAGAGTAATATAGTCTGTATACTCAATGTCTATGAGGGAACGTCCCGGGAGCATTTCGACTCCCGAGGTTTCAAGTGCAGACAGAAATTTCAGGCAGCATATTATTAATAAAGTTGAAAAGGAAAGGAGAAAGGGGACAGCCTTGTCTTACATCGCTGGCCGTGGTAAGCTCAGACGAGAGCTTCCCGTATACTCGTACGCGCCCACAGGAGTTCGCATACAGATTCCTCACAAAGGATAGAAATTTGGAAGGGACACCTTTGATCGCCAGACACTACCAAAGTTTCGGCCGATTGACAGGATCAAAAGCGGCTATTAGATCAAGAAAATCGACTCAGTCTGGGACGTCTGAAGGAGTCGCAATGTTCAAGAATTTGTCTTAAGGTAAGGCATCATCGACCAGAGAGAAACCCAGCTTGATTTTCACAAATCTGTCTCTTCCGTCAACCTGCGCAAAATAATACCAGAGAGCACATTAGATGCGGCAGATACCAGGCTGATACCACGATGGTTTTCACATGACGCTCTTGCTCTCTTTTTTAAAACTGGGGTGACGGTCGAGGAGCTCCATTGGGCTGGCATTGTTTTCATTCCAAATCTTCTGCAGTATGCTTGCCAGATTGTTCACCAGGACGTCCCCACCTTCTTTGAAGAGCGCAGGGTGTAAGCCATCCGGGCCGGGTGGCTTGCCGCGCTTCAAGATTGAAATCTCACGCTGGATTTCGGTTGCTGATGGTGGCTTGGTGTCAATGTTCCATTCAGGCTCACTTGGTTCTTCAAGCGGTTGTGTTGAAAAAGACCAGGTGAACTGTTCTTGGAAGTGCTCAACCCACCGCTCAACACGGAAATTGAGGGGGTGAATCCCTGTTCTGTCTTTTTCGCATATTGTCTCACTGACACCTGCCTTCTTTTGGCCCGTTGATCGAATTAGTTGAAACAGGGCGCGACTTTTGCCTGCAACGAAAGCCCTTCT